CTGCCGTAAGGGCTAGGAGGGTAGCCAGGCTGGCCAGTGCCCTTGAGGTAATGCATATTGCATCCTGCAGCGGTTCAGCTGTTGCTCCTGCTTCAGTGGCCAGAGGCCTAATAATTGGAGCCAGTAGCAGGTGTCTTCTTTAGCCTGGCAGTTACTAGAGGGTTTTTAGGGGGGTTGGTTTTGTTTTTCTTTCCTTTTTTAAGAGAGGATTTCACAGGCTGGAGAGATGGCTCAGTGGTTAAGAGAACTGACTGCTCTTCCAGAGGTCCTGAGTTCAATTCCCAGCAATCACATGGTGTCTCACAGCCATCTATAATGAGACCTGGCGCCCCCTTCTGACTTGTGGGCACACATGGAAGGAATGCTGTACACATAATAAATAAATATTTTTTTTTAAAAAAAGAGGATTTCATGATCCTATCTAATGAATTCTGGCGTTTAATTCCCTGTGTAGCCAGGGTGACCTTGATTTCTGATCTTCCTGCCTCCACCTTCTGCCTGGTTTACACCTTGCTGGGTACAGGACCCTGTGCTCTATGTGGCAAGCGCTCCACCAAGCTACCCCAGCCTCAACTGTCACTTGAGTGAAAGCATTCAGATGTGTCCAGACTTCAGCTCTGTGAAGCACCGTGGCTGGCTGCATGTGCACATGTCTTGTTCCGGCGTCAACTGGTGCAGGGGCAGGCCTGGTGTGGAAGATGTTGAGGAGCAGGGGCAGGCGAGCTCCAGGGTGGAGTCCCCACCAGCCTGGACTTTACCGAGAGTCTCTGGACTGCAGAACTTGCAGGTGGAATGGGTCAGAGTGAGCAGTTCAGATTCCAAAGGTCTAGCCTCTGTCAGCCTGTGTTTCTTCAGGCAAGTCAGCTGACACCCTGGTCCTCAGACTTTATCCTTTCTGGTCTATAAGAACCAAGATTCCAGCCAGTACTGAAAAACCTGGAATGCAGAGGAGCAGACTCCTCCCCTTTCCTTTTTTTTTTTTTGACTTGTAACTCTGACTGGTTTCAAACTCACAGAGATCTGCCTGCCTCTGCCTCCTGAGTATCGGTTGGATTTTGTAGTGTATATGGGCACACGAGTCCCTGAACAGCTGGAGAGGACAGATGTCCTACTCAACATTTTATTCCCTTGAGGCAGGAACTCTCATTGCCCTTGGAGCTAGGCTCAGTAGGCATTAAGCCCCAGAGATCCACCTGTGTTTGCCATCACAGCACTGGGGCTCCAGCCTGCCCCTACATCTGCCCCAGGGTCTCACTATGTAGCTCTAGCTGTCCTGGAACTCACTAGGTAGTGTCTCTGTCTCCTAAATTAAGGGATTAAAGGCTTATATCACCACTACCCAGCTATTTTCATTATTTTATGTTCATTGATGTTTTGCCTGTATGTATGTCTGTGTGAGGGTGTCAGAAGCCCTGGAACTGGAGTTACAGATGGGTGTGAGTTGCCATGTAGGTGTTGGGAGTTGAATGTGGGCCTCTGCAAGAGCTGTCTCTTAGGCTTTTTATGTGGGCCTAGGGATTTGAACTCAGGTCCTCATGCGTGCATAGCAAGTGCTCTTGGCCGCTGAGCCATTTCTCCAGCCTGTTTACAGTTTCATAGAACTGGTCTGCTGCCAAATCTCCTCCTAGCTGTGGGAGCAAAAGTCTGTGCTTCTGTGCAGACTTCCTCAGTGGAAAGAGTGAGCCACTGCCCAGCCAGGGAGAAACCTGGGTTTTGGGCTTTTCCCAGTCCAATTCTTTTACCATATTTGGAGAAAAGCTCCCCCTTCAAAAGTTGCCTTTAGGAAGCCTGATATAGTGGTGCATGCCTTCAATCTCAACATTCTGGAGGCGGAGATAGACTAATCTCTGACCTGGGGGCCAACCTGATCTCCATGATGAGTGCCAGGCCAGCCAGGACTACATGGTGAGACCATGCCTCAAAAAAGAGGGGAAGCAGGGGCTAAAGAGATGGCTCTGCAGTTAAGAACACTGGCTGCTCTTCCAGAGGACCTGGGTTAATTCCCAGCACCCACATGGCAGCTCACCATGGTCTGTAGTTCCAGTTCCGGGGCATCTGGTGCCCTCACAAATATATGTGCAGACAAAACACCAATGCGCTAAAAATAAATACATCTTTAAAAAGGGGAAGGTTGGATCTTAAGAGAGAGCTCAGTCGTTGAACACTGACTTCTCCTGAAGAGGACCTGGGTTTGATTCCCAGCACCCACAAGTACCTTTAACTCCAGTCTCAGGGGATGTGATACCCTCTTCTGGCCCCCAGTGACACTAGGCATGCATGTTTTGTGCAGACATACATATAGACAAAACACACATACACAAATTCTTTTAAAAATCTGTCTTTGGGGCTGGAGAGATGGCTCAGTGGTTAAGAGCATTGCCTGCTCTTCCAAAGGTCCTGAGTTCAATTCCCAGCAACCACATGGTGGCTCACAGCCATCTCTAATGAGGTCTGGTGCCCTCTTATGGCCTGCAGACATACACACAGACAGAATATTGTATACATAATAAATAAATATTTTTAAAAAAATCTGTCTTTGGGGATATTGCAATCACTTTCTTAGACCAGGCAATAGAGGACCAAGAAGACTGAGGGCAAGGAAGTGGGAGATGCATGCTGGGGCAATGCCTGCTCTTCCAGTTTATAGGGTGTTGTGTGTGTGTGTGTGTGCACATGTGCATCACTATCACCGGCAGTGGGCAGAGTTTGTAAGACAGAAGGAAAATATTTGAATCTTGCCCATCTGTCCCAGACGCAGGCAAACAGCAGAAGGCCAAATAGCAGAGAAACCAAAAGCACAATTTGCTTGTTCACTTTCTATACCTTCCCACCAAACAGAAAGTGCCCTTCTCAAAACTGGGAGGGAAATCGGGAGCTTCACAATCTGGGATGTTCCAGATAGGAAGGCAGCCAGTACCTTGGGGAAGCCTCAACAAGGGAAGGAAAGAAAGAGGAAGGGTGAGGACCCCTTCCCCTTCCCTCAGCTCCTGGGACAAAGTCGAGCAAGCACACACAACATCTCGTTTCAGTTATAAATAATCCAGGAACATTGTGTTTTCACTTTTCTGGGGCTGGGTTTTCTCAGTACACAGGGCTCTTGGGAGACATGGAAACCATGGCCGGTCAGTGTGAGTGTTGCTGGAGACAGCACCGCCAAGTTATTCAGATGTCTAAACAACCACCTCATTTAGAATCCCCAGCCTCCGGCTCTTCTCTGGACCAGCCCTGAAATTACATCTCCGGGGTGGACCCCTCATCTAGGCTGTGTAGGAGTCAAAATCATTGAGCTTCTAAGGCTCGAGAGAGTCTGGACTGGGCTTGCCTGAGGCTCCTGGTCACCAGCTGACACACAGCCATGGTGACAGCCCTGCCCATCTGTGCCCAAGAGCTTCTTTGCTTTACAGTGATGGCTGAAAAGAATGCTCATGAAATGAGGGTTGGCAACGGCTCAGTGGAAAAAACCACTTGTCACGGAGCGTGATGATCTGAGTTCGGTTCCCAGGCTCCACATGGTGGAGAGCGAGAACTTCTGAAAATTGTCTTCTGACTTGTTCAGGGTACACTCACAACCCCCACCCCAACCCCACAAAGAGAAACTCCAGAAACTTCCAAAGCTGTAAGTCAGGGCCCTGTGCCTCTCCACCTTGCCTTCTCTGGATCCCACCTGACCCCTCCTCAGTACACATTTCTCTCTTCCTCCCATCCTGATTTCTTCCCTGTCCAGCCCTCAGGCTTCCAAGTCTCTCAAAGCTATGATGGACTCAAGGCTTTCAAGTTCCCAGGACTTTTGCTTGTTGGAGTGGTGCTGGAGTTGGGCCCCATGGACTTGTGTACGCTAGCAAAGCTTTACCATGAAGACTAGTCCTATCAATAATATTTTGTCTTTTTTTTTTTTTTTTGAAGACAGAGTCTGTTGCCCAGGCTGGCCTCATATTGTTGGGTTCAAGTGATCCTCCAAACCTCAGCTTTTCAAATAGCTGAGACCACGGGTGTGTGTCAACTCTCCAGGTTCATTTTAGACTTCTCCAACAGCACTCAGCTACTCCTTAGGTGATCTGATATTGGTTACCTAACAATCACAACAACCCCAAATCTCTGATGTCACCCACTGGAAAGTCTCACCAGCAGAGACAGCTAGGGGAGCTAGGTGTGGCCAGGGATGATGGCGGGGGGTGGGGGGGGTGGGAGGGGGGGGAGGTATGAGCCCCGTGGAACAGCCACCAACTGGTGAGCAGGCTGGGACACAGAGCAAAACAAAAGATGGTACTGGTGGTGTCTCTGACAGGAAAGCGGAAGTTCTTGGGCTTTTGATTTCCCCTAAGTTCCCACCACATCTCATTGTTGCCCAACATTTCCCCTCTTCCTCACAAGGGGAATTTCCGATTTCACTTCCTCAAAACTCAAGCAACCAGAAAGCCTCATCTTCTTTAGCCCAAATACAGGGACAAAACTCTTCGGTGAGACCTTGACCTTTCCCCTCCAGCTCACGTCACGTGTGTCCATTGCTGTGTCCCTCTCTCGTCTGCCTGAATGGAGTCCCGCCGCACTTCTCCTTCCTTGCCGATTTTTCTGTTTCCGTTGTCCTCTACTCTCAGCTTTCCCTATTTTCGCTATCCTGTCCCCAGAGCCACTAAAAGACTAAAGGGTGAGGAGTAGGGAAGCGGGAAAAGAGACAGCGCCCGGGCTCCCGGTGCTTTTGGGGTTCCGAGCCGGTGGAAGCACTGTGGTTGGGGAGCACAGTCCACCGGCGCTGGAGGATGCTCAGGCTAACTACATCTTGGCACCAGACTCTGGTACGGCCAACTGCGGCACTTCCGAGAGCCTCCCCTCGAGGGGCGGAGCAAAACAGGTGCGGTTGCCAGGGCACCGCAGCCACGGGCTCGCGAGATTTGAAATCAGCCAATGGGAAGCAGGGGAAGACGTGGCACGCGAGTGGGGCAGGGCCTGGAGGCCTCTTTCCCCGCCCCGCTCCGGCCGGCCGCGAGGCGGCGGCCCCGCTCCGCCGGGCTCCCGCCTATAAAGGGGCAGCTGGGCGAGGCTCGCGCGGCTGTCTGCAGAGGGCGCTCTCGTAATTGGCGTCCGCCGACCTGCGCCTGCGCACTGTGGGCCGCGCCCCGCCCCCTGCCCCGCTGCCCTCAGCCGGCCGGCCGGCCCCTCCTCGGCCGCGAGCCCTCGTCCCGCTCAGCCGCCGCTCCGTCCCGCAGCAGCCTGCCTAGTGTCCGGCAGCATGTTCAGCTGGGTGAGCAAGGATGCCCGCCGCAAGAAGGAGCCGGAGCTCTTCCAGACGGTGGCCGAGGGGTTGCGACTGCTGTACGCGCAGAAGCTGCTGCCGCTGGAGGAGCACTATCGCTTCCACGAGTTCCACTCGCCCGCGCTGGAGGACGCTGACTTCGACAACAAACCCATGGTGCTCCTGGTCGGCCAGTACAGCACCGGCAAGACCACCTTCATCCGCCACTTGATCGAGCAGGACTTCCCGGGGATGCGCATCGGGCCGGAGCCCACCACCGACTCCTTCATCGCGGTCATGCACGGCCCCACCGAGGGCGTGGTGCCGGGCAACGCGCTCGTCGTCGACCCGCGGCGCCCCTTTCGCAAGCTCAACGCCTTCGGCAACGCCTTCCTCAACAGGTACCTACCCCTTCTCTCCGGGCGCGAGGACCGCCATGGCCCCCCGCAGCCATTGCCCCGCTGGCCTTTGTCTCCAAGAGCCCCAGCCGGACCCGAGGCGACCACTCCCAAGGACATTGACTACCCAGGAGTCGGGGAATAGGCGTCGGCCACTCTTCTGGCTTGTGTCACCCCCAGAATCTTCCAGGTTATCAATTTAACTCTCACTGCCCCCAATCCCACCCCCGCAGACCCCAGAGCCAGGGGCTACTGTAGGAAGATGAGCCTTTGCTGTCCTCCTTATTTCTCATTCTGGAGGCCCCCAGTTCATTCTCATTAATCTCCCTCCATCTCCACTTGAGTCTGTTTTTTAAGTGTCATGTGGAACCCCAGGACTTATATGTTCCCTTAGCTGCTGTGTCTGCTTCATATCCCCAGGGACCAGTGGTTCTGTGTAGGAGGGGCAGCCCCCATTGAAAGCAGGGGATAAGGAAGTCTCAATAGCCCTCCTAAAAGTAGCACTTAAGTAAATTCTAGGCCAGCCAGGAGTCCCTGAGACTACCCTGTCTCAAAAAAACTTAATGAGTCAGTGCTGTCTCAAGAGACTTCAGGGAGCAGTAACAGTGAGACCCATGAAATGACCAGGTTCCTCCATTTCACTATAGAGTTGATAGGAGTCTCAGTGTCACCAGTTTAAGGGGTGAGGCGAGAATCAGCTCCTCAAGGTGCTATGAATGAGTCACAGTGGCCTGCCTGTCTGAGGAGCATTAACACCCAGGGTCACTTCTGTACAGGCAACTGGGGATCCCGGCCTCCGCCCATGAAAGGCACGACAGGACTCAGAGACCCTCCCCTCTGTGCTCCCTCTTTCAAGGAGTAACTCTACGTGCCTTTCGAAGTCTGCATTCAGCCTGGGGGAACAGCCTAGGAAAGAATCTGAGCGTGCTTTCCAGGTCTCCGCCCTGTATGAACACATTCCTCTACAGACACTGTCCAGCCGTCCAGGGCGGGCCAGCTTGTTCTAGAGCGAGCTCACCGCCAGGCCTGCCTCTTGCAGGGACCTGACCTTTAATGTTGTCGTGTGTCCCTTCTAGGCAATTTCAGCCTGTCTTGTTTTCTGGTGATGGTGTTTGTTTGTCAGGCCTGGATGAATACAGTGCTGTGGTCATCATAGCCTGGAGTATTTCTCTACCGTTTTCTGAACTTTGCTGCACCTGTAGGTAGGCCATTGGCTCAGACTCTGTTGAGAAGTTTGGCTGTTGGGCGAGGAGTTCATTATGCCTTAGGTCTCCTCTTCAGGAGTGCAAGAGAGAAGCCTTCACTCCTATTTCAGCCGCTGCGCCCTATCTTCCCCTCATTTTGAGGGCAGACGTTTTGAAACAAGGAACTTGGCACCTTGGAAATGCATGGCTGAAGAGCTGGTAGGATCTCATACACCATCCACTCCCAGTTCATTAACTCAGGAAGCCCAGGCCCCAATGAATTGTCACAGTTAAGGCCATGCTGATGGCTTGTTCTTTGTGCTTAGTGCGCTCACTACTACTGTCTCCAAAAAAGGAACAACTGAGGAACCCTTGGCAAAGGACGGGCGCTTTGATAGCATGGGGTCCAGGGGATCCAAGAGCTATACTTCTTGACATCACCCCAATTCCAGAGGGTCTCTAAGATGCTGGTGTAGTCCAAGACCGGAGGAGCTGTGTCAGGATGTTCAGACCACGGTGCCTCTGGCCAGGGAGGGTACAACAAAGGGGGCTTTTCTCTGGCTGATACAGCTTTTCCTGTTACTCTCAAAGGGACCCATTGAGCCATGAACTTGACTTGCTAGCCTCTTTCTCTTGAGTGCTCCGCAGAGATAGTGAGAAGAACAGATGGAGGCAGACGTGAAGGAAACCCAAGAGTGGTTTGTCATGACTCCTCCTTGCATAACTGGGCCCACCCACTTGTCCTACGAACTGGAGTCTCCATCCTTGTTGCCAAGAGAAGCATTTTTACTGCCCCCCGCCTTTCTTGCCATACACTTATCAGGCCTTGCAGAGTAGTGGGTTCTCCTGGACCTGCAGAGGCCCCTTTTAGGCCCTTTTGTGTGTGCTACTTCTCAGAGCCAGCTCCACTTCTACTCCTTTTTTTCTCCATCACTCTCTCCATTGAGTCTAGGAGTTTCTTCCCAAGCAAGAAGAAACTCAGGTCTGGCCTGCAGTGGCTTACAGCAGTAGAGTCTCTGCACTTGGAGACTGTACCTTTTACTTTGTCCCTCCAGCCTGTGGGGACACTGATCATCATTGGGGTGGGGTCACAGGAGATACTTGATCTGCCTGAGTGCTCCCCACTGTTGGAGGAGCAGCTTGGAGTCTGTGTCTGGCAGGCAATGAATGGGTCTAATGGATCTGTATTTTCTTTGCTGACAATAAAGAGGTTTTTAAAGGAGGCTTTTCTCTGTCCACTAAAGAACCCAGCCCTTAGAGACAGCTGATAGCGGCTCTGCTAAACTCTTAGTTCAGCGTGGGACGCAGGTCCATAGCTCAGCCCCCATCAAGGGTTTTCCCTCTGTTGTGGCTTCCTCTCTCCTGAGGCTGGTTTTGACTTTGAGAGAATGGTGTATCTGTGCTCCTTCCACACCATTTGACTACTGGTGGCCTATCACAGTCCCTTCACAAGCAGCTGGCCCCATCAGCAGTAGAAAATGACCATTCCAGGGGCTGATGGGGATGGCTCGGCGAGCTCAGAGCTCCAGCACCCCTGTAAACATTGGGTACAGGATCGTATTGCAGGCCTGCAATCCAGCCCAGGTTGGGGCTAGAGGAGCAGGTAGACACCAAGGTGGATTTTGGGGACCCCCTGTCCAGACAGCCTAGCTGAATCTGTGAGCTACAGGCTCAGTAACAGGTTCTGTCTCAGTAAAGCAGAAGGATGATAAAGGAAGACACTTGAGGTCAGTCTAGCCGTCATGTGTGTTTGCACACACATGTACACACACATACACAGAAAGAGACCATTCCTCTTTAGTGTTTGGGAATTCAGCTAAGCTGTTGGGTTTTTTTTTTTTGTTGTTGTTGTTGTTGTTATTATTTTTTATTTTATTTTATTTTTTGAGTCAGGGTTTCTCTGTGTAGCCCCGGCTGTCCTGAAACTCTCTTTTTAGACCAGGCTGGCCTTGAATTTACAGAGATTGCCTGCCTCTCCCTCCTACATGCTCAGATTAACGGTGTGCGCCACCATGCCCAGCTGTGTTATTTCTTTCCACTTACTTATTCTGTGTTAGTTAGCATTGTATGTCACAGCACTGTGAAGATCGGTGGGTAGTGCGGGTCAGCCTTCTCCTTCCACTGCGTAGGTTCTGAGGACTAAACTAAGGTTGTCAGGCTTGGTGGCAAGTGTTCTACCCACTGAGCCTAGGTCTTCCTATGTAGACCATGCTTGCCTAGAATTTAATTAGCACCAATCCTCCTGCCTCTGTTCCCTAGGTGCTGGGATTGTAGGTGTATACCATCATACCTGGGTGAAAATTTTAGGATGGAATTGCAAAGTCTCAGTATCACGCTTCTGTTTCCCTTCAGAACTGAAGCATGGTCTGGGCTCATACAGCTTTGCTAACAAGTCAGCAACTGAGAAGCTGAACTCGTGAACCCTGGGGGGAAGAGATGACAAGGAGCGAAGCCCTGCTGTTCTCCAGTTAGACCTTTCTGCTAGCATTCTCAGTTAGTTTCTGCAGGGGGAGGGAGGCTGAAAAGCCTCCCATGACCTGGATCAGTCAGTGTCAGCCCCACTCTGACTCTCCCTGGCTTTACTGCCCTGCAGGTTCATGTGTGCACAGCTGCCCAACCCGGTCCTGGACAGCATCAGTATCATCGACACTCCCGGGATCCTGTCTGGCGAGAAGCAGCGCATCAGCCGAGGTAAACCAGCTCTGTGCTGGAGAGCCACGCCCCTGCTGCCTTCCAGGTTTCTTCCAGCCCCAGGCTCTAAAAAAATGTATTCAGGTGACAGGCTTCTTACCTCATACCTCATCTATACATTGGTGACCTGAGGGGCCACAGCTGCCTCCTGTGCTCAGGTACCGAGAATGGCCCAGCTGAGATCACAGTCCAGTCCATGCGGGATGGCCAGGTGTTTTTGAACCCGTTGAGGCTTGGGCCTTGGGCTGTGAAGCAAAGTGGCAGGAAATTGCCTGATAGCTGTGCCCACGTGTGCAGCCAGTGTTGGCTGACCCCTGGCCTCCTTGCCCCTTTTGCATAGGGACACTGTGCCTCTCGGTGTCATGTCAGTTCCTAGTTAGTTCAGCCAGCTCGGCAGAAGGAGAAACTGTGTGTGGCCTGCCTGAGTGCTGGTGGAAATTTGCTTACATTTGCTTAGCCCTTGCTGATGAGCGGCCTCCCAGGGCCAGGGCAGAGGTTCCCTCTAGGTCCTGGTGCTCTGGTCTAGTTGTGTCAGCTCTCGCCAGCTTTTGCCATGCTTTTTAAAAATTTTTAGGTTTGTTTATTTTATGAAATAAAACTTTATTTCCGGGGCTGGAGAGATGGCTCAGTGGTTAAGAGCACCAGCTGCTCTTCCAGAGGTCCTGAGTTCAATTCCCAGCAACCACATGGTGGCTCACAACCATCTGTAATGAGATCTGGCGCCCTGCTCTGGCGTGCGGGCATACATGGAGGCAGACTGTTGTGTACATAATAAATAAATCTTTAAAAAAAACCACTTTATTTCCATAATACATAAAGATAACAACCTTTTCCAGAGTGGTTAAAAGGGGCTGGGAGGCTGGGGGTGGGGTTCAGTTAGTAGAGTGCCTGCTTAGTATGCAGAAGCCCTGGGTTCAGTCCCCAGCACAGCACAGACAGAGCGTGGTGGCACGTGTCTGACTCCCAGCACTTGGAGTGAAAGAGAGGCAAGAAGATCAGTAATTCACGAAGAAGGGTTCTTCTTGGCTACAGAGCAAGTCTGAGGCTGTCTCAAAAACAAAAGCAGACCCCCATCTCAAAGAGGAGCTGGAGCATCGGGGACAACTGTCTCACAAGGCTGTATTCCAACACTGATCACAAGGCTAGGGGATCCTCTGATCTGTCTATTACATTGCCCCTTGAGGTCCTGGTTCAGGACAAGCCTGACTTTGTTTTAACCCTGGCTCTTTAGCAGAGGGCTAGGCACCAGCCATTGGGTTGGAATACCTTCCAGGAAGCCATTAAGGGCTGGCCAGAAGTAGAGTTAGCCACTACAAAGGAGGAAATGCAATACCCTCCCTGGAGATGTAGCTCAGTGGGCAGCACTGGGCTAGAATGCACAGGGCCCTGGGTTCAATCCCCAGCACTGCAAAAAAAGAAAAAAAAAATGTCAAGGTATGTGTCAAAGAGCAGTGCTGGAAAAAGAGAAAGGGGGAAAAAAGAGGGAACAGTAAAATGGCCCAGTGTGTAAAGGCCACCATGCCTGGTGACCTGAGTTTGATCCCTGGAATCCATATCATGGAAAGCATGATACAGTTCCCACAAGTTATCCTCTGACCTGTCTATTCATGCCGTGGCACGCACGCACACACACACACACACACACACACACACACACACACACCTCTGACCTGTCTATTCATGCCGTGGCACTCAAACACACACCACACACACACACAAATGTAATTGAAAAGTTTGAAAAAAAGAAAAGGAAGACATACAAGAGCCTGGGTAGCAGCTCTAATCCCAGCATTCGGGAGGCTTAGGCAGGAGGTCACTTCCATTCTCAGGCTCAAACAAGCACCTGTGGTTAAGTTCGTTTTCATTAACTTACTTGTCTGTCCTTTGGCCCTTGCCCTGAGGTGGGGCACGTGAGATGGGGCACGTCGAAGCTAGCAGCCTGCACTGCAACCAAGCCTGTCTGTCCTTGCAGCTGTGGTGTTCCCTCCTCTTTTCTGTGGTTGTATGGACCCCAGCCAGCATGGTGGGAGCTGTGCATAGACCACAATGCAGTGAGCTGGCTGTCTCTGATCGGATTAGAAGCAGCCAGTTGAGCTGAATTTCCCTTTCTTTCTTTCTTTTTTTTTTTTTTTTTTTGAGACAGGCTGACCTTCAATTCTTTATCCCTCTGTCTCAGCATCCGAGATGCCAGGATTCCAAGTGGACCTCATACCTGACACTGGTTAAGTTTTCAGCCTTATCCATTCTTATGAGAGTGACTCTCTTGGAAGGTCAAGGGAACAGATTTTTGAAACCCTTTGCAAAAAAGCAGGGGCCACATTTCTTCTTTCTTACTGCTATTACTAGTCGACCTGTTTTAGGAGAATACCTTCTGAACAAGTGACGCAAGCCTGTGACCCCAGCTCCTCAGGGATGGGACAAAACATACATGCGTCAGGCCTGCCTGGCAGAGTGAGCTCAGGGCAAGTTATTGAGATCTTGTTCCAAAATAAAAAGACGGGGGGTGGGGAGAAAGCTCAGTTGGGAAAGTGCCCGCCACACAGACTTGTGTCTGTGCAGCTGGTATGATTTAGACGCCTGTAATCCCAGTACTGGAGGACAGAGACCAGCTAGTAGTCTGTCTGAATTAGTGAAGTTTCAGGTTCAGTGAGAGACCCTGTCATTAAAAAAAAAAAAAAAAAGGCTGAAAATGGACAAAGGAAGATGTCTGGCAGTGACCTCTGGTCCCCCCACATGAACACCCCTGAAAATATAGCTCAGTGGTAGAGCCTTTGCCTTGCATGCATGAGGCCCAGGTTCAGTTCTCATCGCCAAAGAGCAAAGAGATAAAGCTTGGTAAGCAATACTCTTTTCTTTCTTTTTTGGGTGGTAGGGATGTTGAGACAGGATCTCACAAGTAGCCCTGGCTGCCCTGGAACTAACTCTGTAGATCAGGCTGACCTTGAACTCAGATGCACCTGTGTCTACTTCTGCAGTGCTGGAATTAAAGGTGTATACTGCCATGTTTGGCATTGCCCACCATGTTTGGCATTGCGCTTTCCTTGCTGGAACACCATTGCTCATGGACCTTCAGGGTGAAGTGAAGGTGGTAGGAGTCGGGGAGAGGATTTGGGGTTCTTGTTGTCCTTGTAGGCTCATAAAGGGAACCCAGAAGTAACTCTTTCCCCAAAGCCAGAGTAAAGCTGGAAAATCCAAGTAAGCTTCTTTTAAATAAGAGAAAAACTCCAGTAGGAGCCAGGTCCAGCCGGCACTTAGGCGGAGGTATGTGGCCATTGTTTGAGGCCCACAGGCTTATCTTTCGGCTGAGCCAGACTCCTGCTGGCTGCTGTGCGGTGAGAACACAGCCTCAGATAGGGGACAATAGCTCACCCTCAGAGGCTTATCTTGCCAGAATGCCACCGCTGGTTAGGTGGAGGTGAGGCCTTCAGGGCTGGAGGGAGGGACGGAATGGGAAGGGCCAGAGGTTCCTGTAGCCCGAGTAGCTCCTCCAAAGGAGCTCAGAGGCAGCCAGCGCTCAGCATAGTGTCCTCCTCGTGCTCTCCAGACAGACCAGCTTGGACATCATGCCCTGGGATCCCCAGCCTGCCACTGAGGCCACAGGGACACGACTTTTCCTGTTGCTTTCCTGCTAGGAGAGCAACACGGCTGGACCTGAACTGCCTGTGTCTGGGGAGAACCACCGGAGTGATGCTTTGAGATGTGGCTTTTCTCTGTGTCTGTGCTGCAGACTGAATCTAGAGTCCCCAGCGTGCTAGATCATTGCTCTTACCACTGAGCCACACCGCACCCCCAGCAGCGTTTTGGTTAGGGCTAAAGAGACTATTAGTGTACACAGACAGGACACTGTGTAGGTGACACGACACACTAGTTCTTTCTGTGCCCTTCAGGTGTCCCTGCAACCAGTTTCTTCTCTGTTTGCAGAAGGCTCCCATTGAAGGTGGGTTCTGCAGTGCAATACCAAGATGGAACCAATTTTTTTTAACCCTTTACCCCCTCCATAATCCTAGCAGTCCCCATTTAAGTGTTACCCAGTTAATATTTGGAGGTGAACATTTCATGGTGATGATCAAGATGATCATGTGGCCCTTTTTAGAGGTGGTCAGTGTGGGCTCCAAGGTGGTCATAGCTTATGGATGAGGGAGGCCATATCTCAGAGACCCCACCTAGCAGTCCTCCTTGTACGCAGGGGAGATCAGAACCGGGGAGTGTGTTCCCGTGGAAAGCAGGTGTTTCTCCTCAGAGTTGTTCCTTGGGAAACACATCATCCCTGCCTGCTCCCTTTGGGTCCATTCCTACCCTTTCGGCTAGCCCCTCATAACTTTTTGCCTTTTCCCTCACGGTCCCTCATATGTGCAGGAAATTCAATCTAGAATGATAAATATTGCTGGCATAGACCAAAGGGGTCAAGGTTCCCTGGCTCTGCTAGGGACCCCTGATAATTGTGGTCCTTTGGGGTCCCAGGGTCAGCTTCCTGACATTGCCTATCTGCTGCAGCTTGAGAGATAACATTCTCTTGTGTCAGCAGGGTAAGGTGGCCTTTGGGAGCACCATTTATTCCTGAGTGCCACTCGTGTGACTGATAAAGGGATTCAAAGGGCATCCAGGGCTGAGTGGGGCTGATGCCCTTGGCTTCCAGGGTCATTACCACTACATAATCACTGTACCTAGGACTGTGATCTTTCTGTGTCAGTCCTTTGTGGGCAGTGGCAGGGAGCGTGCCAGGGCCCTCCCTGCCATTGTCACTATATGACCGTGAGCTTTGCTGTAACTTTGGTACCTCTCTTGACCCCAGGAAAATTCTATCAGCAGAGGGAGTGTGGCTTCAGCTAGGGTTATAGAAGTGGCATCCCATCTGGCCTGGCGCCTGCCTTCTTGCTATCTTGTCTTATCTATGTGCCCCTCTGTGTTATCTCTGTAGCTGTGTAGAGGAGGAAGCCACTGTTTTTCTGATGAGGAACTCTGTCTGAGGAGCACTGAGAGATGAGCCTGAGGGACACACA